GTGTGTTTGTGTGTGTGTGTGTGTGTGTGTGTGTGTGAGAGAGTGAGAGACAAAACAAAGACACTGAATCTGAAAATGAATCTTTCACATTTAGTAAATACTGAATTTAATTCCACTTGTAAAAACAGCAAGAATTTGTTACATTAAAAAATAACCATTATTATACTTATTTAGCAACTTAGCAACTAAGTGTATAAAAACACAGCAAGCTTCAGAATTCACATTTGAGGTCTGACTACACAGTCAGGAGAGGCAGGTGGTACAGAAGGCCCATCAACAATTGAATATATTTTTATTTATGTTTGAATATGTGCACCTCATAGAAATGTACATTTACATTTAGTCATTTAGCAGACGCTTTTATCCAAAGCGACTTACAATTTAGTTATACGTTTATGAAACTGATTTATTTCAGTTTCTATTTAAATTGTCATAATTTGTAACATTGCAGACATGGTTTTATGTTTACGCGGCGCGATGCAATGCAACGCGTAAAAAGACAGTATAAGTCATTATTATTATAGTAATTATGTCCTCACTGGATGCAACAAATGCCTCTTTTGTAATGGGTTTTATTGGTGTTGTCTCATCGCGCCGGGACACGGCATCACAATATGGTAAGGGGCGTAACATTTCCATCACACGCTTGAGGTATTCAGCCAATCACAATGCACTGGATAGCTGGCCAATCACAGCACACCTCGCTTTTGAACGAGGACAATGAGCTTTGTAAAAATCGACGCGTTTCAGAAAGGCGGGGCATAGAGGAGAAACAATGTATAGTATGTGGAAAATAATGTGTTTTTTTAACCTTATACCGCATAAACACATTGCATTACACCAAATACACAAAATAATGTTCTTTTTAGCAACGTCTTGTGACCCTTTTAAAGTAAATTATAAAGGTAGAACATTTCTAAGACTTTCCAAGTTTTAATAAAAATCAACCCTAGTGAGTTGGGACATGAGAATGCAAGAAGTAACACCCATCTGTGCAAAGCTGATTTACTTGAGAAAACCACACAAATCACTGTAAATAACATCAGATAGGTGCTTATCTTTACCTAAATTATTATTATTATTATTATTATTATTACATTCTCTTTAATACTTGTTACATTTCTGTTCTCCCTTTCAAAAAAAGTATTTAATTAATGTTGTACAATCATCTATTAGGCCTATATAGCCTATGGTAAATATACCGGAGCAATTTTAGCAACACACTCATCGAACACTTGTAGTGAAGTTTCTCCGCTAAGTTGATGTCCAGCACTAGTTACTACAGTCAGTCTGTATATTCTAGAATCATCCAGTCTCAGGTTCCAGAGCTCCAGAGTGAGAGTGATTCTGTCAAAACTGACTCTGTCTGTATATGCTGGGACTATTATAGTGGAATCAGACTGTGCTGTCAGTATAATAGTTGTTCCAAAAAACCCCACTGAACTGTATCAATTGATGTGGAGGGCGGGTTATCAGGAGCGAACACTACACTTCCTCCTACTGCTCCATTAGCCGGCTCAGAAAACTGCAGATCTTCCCCTAAATACTGGCCTATGTCAAAGAAAGAAATAAAGACAAAAAGAGGAATACTTACATTTTTCTGCCATAAATATTGAACTTACTGTGGTTCATTTTTTTAGTTTTGTAGTTGAAGTTCTAGTTGGCAGACATACATTTTTCTGCAATTACATAATTAAAATAGGCCCAACTAACTTATTTTATACAGAAACTAAATACCACACCAAAACACCCTAAACAATGTTTTTGAATTTCTAAAAAGGCTCACCAAAACACGACAACATCCACAGTGTCCAGTAAAAACCATGAGAAACCATGATCGAGCTCTGATCTGTCAGGAGCTGCTGCTTAAAGGTGCAATAGGTGATTGTCTTCAGAAATTTTTTTTGTTATGCTGGTTGAAAGTCTCTTCACATCCCGATAGCAATAATTAAGTTAAGTGGTCTAAATGTGTTTGTCTGTATTTATATATTCTGTGGAAGGCATAGGATCAAGAAATGTTCATCCAATCCAATCATATTAAAACGCTCCCTACTCTCTGAGATAGCGCTCGATAATAACACAAGTCCAATAGTAATTAACCAGATTTATTCAAGTTGGAGAAATAATAAAATATAACTGACTCAATGGAAATATAACATTATCGGCTTAATTAGTTAGAGTTAGTTATGTTTTTGTTTTTTGTTCAACACTTCTTTTAGTTGAACAACCTCAAAAAGATTTTACAAACAAAATATTGGGCTAATATTGATAATAACTTCTACTGGAGTCACCAAACGTGAGCAAAATCAAACAGTGTACAAGCCGGCATTTGACACAATTGTAACAAATCACCAACACACAAATACACACAAATTGCTGGTATTACTATTGTGGAGACACTTGGTGCTCATAATGTAGAGAATACCTGGTACACACACACACACACACACACACACACACACACACGTTTCTGTGAATTGTGGGGACTTTCCATAGACTTCTATTACTTTTATACTGACCAAACGATATTTTCTATCCCCTAACCCTAAACCTACCCCTTACAGAAAACCTATTTGCATTGTTACACTTTCAGATAAACATCATTTACTATTTTTAATTATTTTTTTCCTATGTGGGGACCGCAGACCGTTGTCAAAAATTTGTCAAAAATGTCAAAAATTTCAGGTTTTACTATCCTTGTAGGATCTACTATCGTATGTAGCATATACAAGTACACACACACACTCACACACACACACACACACCCTCTTTCATGAGTTCGCCTGCCCATTCAGTCTTGCTAGATAGGCCTAATGGTAAACGCACTTGGCTTGCTGTGCTGAAGGAGCAGTAAACATATGCTATACATACAGTAGCAGACCTACAGTACATTGACTACAATATTTAACATTTTTCCTTGGTCATTCCATTATTGCAAACCCTTGATCTTGTGAAAATCTTAAAATGTCAAACCAATCAAATCAAATTTCTACTAAGATTATTTTAGATGTAATGCTATTTTTTAAATGTTAAAGCACAAAAATAAAACCATTTTTGTGGAATCAATAAATTGTAGTCTAATCTTTTTTCTTGTTGATTAGAGACTAATTAGAGATTAAATGTGAATTATTAGAAATGGAAACTGAACATCACAAGTGACTCAAAACCAGAAACATAATGCAACACCATTTTTCACCATTGTATCAATGCAGCTTCTGGGGAATCTATTTCTCAGCATTTCAGGTTTTTTTTCTAGTTTTAAATCGACTTACTCTACAAGTTGTCAGGGCTGTAGGCAGCTGTTTTAACTTCCCTTTATGTGATTGAACTTTGAACAGTTTTTATAAGATGGTGTTACGCAGCTTGTGTCATTGCTCTATGGAAATGAAAGTTTATGATGGACTTACATAATGTGTTTATTCCTCTACTGCTGTCTTGCAGGTTAGTGAATTTTTACTGCTTTTTCGTATTTTAGAAATTATGCAATGCGTCTTCTGCAAATAAAGTAAATAGCTATATGATCAAAACCCTTTGTGCAATGATTATAGTGCTAAATCTAGTTCAGCAAAACATAGCTGCCATATAGTATTTATATTATCTAACATTTACAGACTGTCTTTACAAAGTTTGCTGTTTAAGATGGTGAAAATGTTACTGATTTCAATCCTTTTTCTTTTCATGTATTATTTCCTCTGAAAATCTCCCATTGATCTGAATTGATTTACATGATTTTTTTAATTTGCCAAGAACTCATTAAGACTGTTGAATAAACATAAAATTATATATTTTTGATTATTATATTATACATGTAATTAAGGAAATATATATTAGGCATAGGAGGAAAGCTGATTTTGCTAAACTCTTTCTGTGCCTTACTTCATTTTATAAAGCAAGTCCTGTCATGCTGTCTTGGGAAATTTCCTGTGCGGACAGACTAAACGAATAAATCAAGCTTGCTTGATATTTGCAAACATATATTGTAATTAGATCCTTTTACAATCTTGGAATATTTTATATGATTAAAAAGCCTTGCCAGCTGAATGGTTACTTAAATATACATATATCTCTTTCTCTTTTTTCCAGTACTGCATGGACAGAAAGTTGTCACTGATCTTAAGGTTACTGGGTTACTGCCCCATTAGACAGCTCCAGGCACGTAGATGCGGCCATAGATATATATATAGGCATAACTGCATTTATGGAGTTGTTGCCCTGCACATAGACATGTATACGTAGATGCTTCATTAGTGACTGTTCCTATAGGCTGCTATACACGTAAGACGTCCGCCATATTGTAACGGTCAACTTGACGTCATTCACCATAGTAGCCTAATCACTGAATATTCGAAAGATGCCACAATCCTGCACAGAACGCCTCAAAGGCTCTGTGAGAACCTACAGTATGGTGAATGACGTCAAGTTGAGAAACAGTCGCTAATGGGGTATCTACGTATATATTTCTATGGCCGCATCTATGTGCCTGGAGCCGTCGAATGGGGCATCTATACATATCTATGGATACGGCCGCCATCTTGGAACGGTCAACTTGACATCAATAGTGTCTTGCCTTAATTAGCCTAAATAATGACACATTAAGTTTAGTTATTTGACTATTGTGTAAACAATTAAACAATTATAACCTTTTAACTACATTTTTAAGTTTTCTGAAGAATAAAAATATTTGCTACTTGCCCCTGCTATAATGGTTCCTAATGGTTCCTAAAAATAATGATTAATGTGACACATAATAGTGCACCTCTCCTTGACAAGCAGCAATGTTTAGGTATCATTCTTGTTAGTATTACAAATGGTGTGGTATGACTTGCCAAAGTTTGATACTTTGATTCAGTGGTGAAAGTAAATAGAAATTGTGCATTACAATCAATAATGTTTCACCACTAGATTTCCTAAATTGCTGGTTTATTACGAGCTCCTCTTGCTGATCTGTCCACAGACAGTCCTCCTGTTCTGTCCACCGCTGAGGCTGTAGGGATTGTGACTGCTAGTGATCATCACTCTGATTATAGCTGTTGTGGGGTGTTTATTCCTGCGAAACAGATGGTAAGTGACTACAAAACATTTAGTAAACACATCAAAATACGACAGATTCATGCCAACAGCCAACTAGCAGAGCAAAAAACAAAAAAATCTAATCCATTTCCAAAGGTTCTCTAATTTTTCAGAAAATTGATTTCAAATTGATTTCATATTATTAATCCAGCACATCTGCATCTGTACATATATTACAGGTAAACCAAGATAATGTGCCAGCATTAGGCATTATATTTATATAAGAAACACAACATACTCCATCATTGTCTTTATCTTTACCAAATATGGAACTAATAAAAAGGACATACTGATAGTAAAAGCAGAATCAGTAAAACAATAGTAAAGTGGCTGAGCTGTAACTAATAAATTTATTATCATGTTCAGTATTCAGCATAAAGTTATCGCAAGATATCAGTGTGAAACTGGACATATTACTAATGCTTGCATGATAAATTACTTATGTTTCTCATTTGTACATTGCTGTAGATAAAAGGTGTCCTACAATATTAAATGTAAATAGGAACAGATTTTTGAATGAATTCATTAATCTTATACAAATCTAAGGGAACAGTTGTGTTCTTACTTATGATCTGTAAGTACAAATTTCAAAATTGAGATTATGGCTTCAAAAAATTGGTGAGTACAGATTACAAAATCATGGGGACAGACTTTTGACAGGGGGGTCGTATTGGGGGCTCTTTACTTTCCTCTTTGCTCTTGCACTTTTATTAAGTCACACCTTTAGACCTTTGACTCCATTCCTCTTCAGTGAAACCATGTATCATGTTGCTATTTGACCTGTGTTTTTCCTCTTTATACTAGGCACAACTCAGGTGAGACTTCCTGCTGCTGAGAACAACATCTTAACTGTGGGAGAAAAAGTTATTTAGTGAAAGATGCAATCAATCCTGAATCTAATAAACAAGTCGTATATTTCACAAGTGTCAAACAGACCATGAGCTTCAGTAAGTAGCTCTCCTTACCTGTATTAGGATGTCACAATACTGAAACCAGGCAAGGCTAACAGAAGCACCTCATCATCAGGGGACATTGAATACCCTGCGGTTTCCTTCAGTGGTCGGTCAGAATCAGCATCACTGCGAGCCTCAGCCAATCAGATGGCTTTGGGTTTCCGCAGAGCAGGAAACCGTGTAAGCACAGGTGAAGAAAGATTGATTTTGAGTACAAATGCCAGGTTTCTATTAATGAATGAGGTGTTTGTACAGTAGAGAACTGAACAGCTTGAGCATCTATAGCAGCAGACAATAAAACTCCAGCTTATAATAAGCAAAACATAATTGTCCGTTAGTATGGACAAGAATGAATTTATCGTTATTGTTATCATTCTTAGTGCGAATGGACTGATATCCGCCTTTCCTGATCCCGCCCCCTTTCTCTCTCCCACTGCGCGTACTGTGTGCTTGTTTTCATTTTAGAGGTAGACTTGAGTCTGTGTGCGGTCTATGCAAAAAGTCACACATTTTAGTACTTCTTAAGATGAAAGAAATTAGTTGATTTTAATACATTTCAATGCATACTCATTGTAAACAATTATTCCTGTGTCCCTTTATTTTCATCTCTTTGTTGGCTTTGATTTAGATTTAGAATAACAAAATTGTCTGCAGAAAAACACAAAGCAGTCTGTACAAAGCATAAGGGTTGACAATTTAAAAAAAAGGAAAGTAAAATAAAAAAAATGGAAAAATGCATGTTGTTGAAGACAAATTAATATAGATGTTTTTTTTATTCCAAAGGATTTACTTTGTCTATAGTTTTAACATAA